ATTTATTTGAATGCATTAAAAAGTGAGTTGTTAGTTACATAAATTACCATAGGAGCTTTTTCTATTGTTTAAACCTACTAAATGTACTAGTCTGACTGGCCCTACTTATTTCATTAAAAGCTCAGCATAGTTTCTCCAACAACATCTTATTGAACAAATATATATAGTTTTCAAATCATTGTTATTGCCTAGAAAAATTAACATTTTCTGCAGATTAACTACTTTCATCAAGCGTTTGAACATGTGATCATCAATTTCTTTTTATTGCTTTGTTTACATTGATCAAGACCCTGGTAAAGTAACCAAGATCTGTCTTCATCAACAACATGTCAATTACTATTTATATTTAAAGACCAGCAGCTTTGGATTCCATTGTTTGTGTTTCAGTCAACCTGGCAGTTGGAGCCAGAAGTTTCTGCCAGGTCATTTAAAACTCCTTTTTATATCAGAAATTAAACACCCCTCCCCCACTGCCACTACATAAACTCATCAACCAAGCAAGGTTGCTAAGAATCTTCATACAGAGAAAGACTTTTCTTCTCAAGAAAACCTTGGGGAAGTTTCCTAGAGAGACAACCTGAAAAAACTTTCACAAATTCCTACATCAACAGGGGAATCCTAAGAAGTTTCCTTTTGCTTGTGCATTGCATTTCCCACTTACTAGTGGGATACCGCGTTTAGATTCCATTAAGAAATGTTGCTCCCTTTTCTAGTGAATTTCCAGTTTCTTTTCCCACTGAACTAATCTTACCACTCAGGTGAACTTTCAGGATTAACTATTACCAATCAATTTGGAACCACATTTTTCAAGTGGGTCCGGACTGTTTTTGTTCTCAACCAAGCATAGGTTACAAATATCTTTAAGCAAATCTAATCCAATCAGTTGCAGAAAGAGATTCAGCTTATGAAAGATCAAAATCTTCATATGCTAGATTCCCTGATCCACATCTGTTGATGGTAGTGGAATAAAAAAATGGGGGAGGGGGGTGGGGGAGCAAAACAACCTTCTAATTAGAGACAGAAAATCAATGTTTCCCACTGCCGAAGAAAAGAAAAAGCCCAGAAAAAGAAAAGAACTTAATTCAAGTCTTCATGTATCTATGAATAATTCATACAATAAAACATCTACTTTCTAAATGCAAATTCTTCAATGCAATTGAATCAAACAAACAATTAATCCAAATGTTCACTGAAAATTAAAGAATCACAGTTCTCAATGTTGCTCAGTGCTACCAACATCAACACTTTCCATTTCTTTTTCCTTCTCTTCTACCATACCAACATCCCAAAGTATGCTAAAAAGCATTAAAGCAAAAAAAAAAAAAGACAAAACTCACCAAAAACTAAGCAAAGTGAAGACCAAGAAGTTGACCAAAGCTCCCACCACCAAACAACAACTTCCCATTTTTGGTGCCATAGACTTAAGCCTGATCCCTTTCGGGGCAACATTAACACCACTAGCGTTGACCACGACATCTGCTCCTACCCTAATCTTATGCTTCTTTGTATACCAAAACACGATCTTAAACTTCACCGCCGTCGACATATCCACCCGGAAAACCCCCGTTCCGTTATCCGAAACAGCCCGTAAAGCCACTGTCGTGTTAGCAGTCCCTTGATAAGGCTTCGTAGCCTTCTTTTTGTGACCCTGGTAAAACCCCTGAATCACACCGCTGCCTAAGACATGACTTCTGTTTGAGAAATCGTAGACCGTCACGTTCAAAGGATCATACCTAATCCCTTTGTCTTTGTTAGGGTTGTCTAGCTTAAGTGTGAAGTTTAAGGTAGGGTCAGTTGAGAGGTTTAAGGTTCTATTAAGTGATGGTAAGTACAAATACTGTATGGAACATTTAGGGTTGGAAGTACGTAGACTCAGCCACATGAAAAGTGCAGTCAGACCCAGAGTGAAGATGAAGCTACAGCAACACCTACAACATCCTCCACCGGAATCCGCCATGTTTTCCGGTGACTGAGATTGGTGTTTTTCCGGTCAAGTGTTGCAAAGGGTTTTCAGCTCAGAAGAAAATAATGAAAGGCTAAGAACACGGTGCTTTGAAGCATAGAATAAAATAATGATACGTTTGCTCTGTCCCTTAGCTTTTTCCTTTAAATAATAAAATAAAGTTTGCATAATTATTGTAATACTATTCTCTTCCATGGCTTTTGGGGGTTAATAAAGGCTCCTTGCCAGTGATCTGTGCCGGTGTTTTGAGCCAATGAAAGGTGGCCAAGTGGTGTAGTGTTGACTAAAAGGACCAATAAAATGAGTTGTTGGGAGAAATGGTTTGTGGTCGTTGAGGTGAGCTAAGGATGAATGGTGAATCTTAAATAGATACACATACGTTGAAACAAGGCAAGTTTCAACTTTGGAGGGAGATTTGGGTTTTGTTCTTAGTAAGTGAATCCAATGTGTACTCAATCTTGATGCATGAAGAGAATGAGTTAATGAAAATAATGGGAAAAAAAAGAAAATAAAATCTTACCCATTTCATAACAAAAGGATTTTAGTATTAATTTTGTTCCTCCTTGGTTGAATTATTAAAATGGCTTATAGTTGTTTTCCCTAATTAGGGTTCATAATTAGTAAATTGGGGGAAAATAAACAAGAAAAAGAAAAGTATAATTCAATGTGAACACATCATTAAAGAAAGACTTCCACTTGATAAAATAATAGGTCTATTTTGTAAATTTGTAATGATATGTAAGTTACTTGGAAAATAATGTGCTCTATATTACTATTAAAAACTTGGTCATGGTTGACTAACCCTACCTATGGGGATTTGAGGTATTGGCTGATGATTGATGATAGGAAGATTTTTTTAAAAATTTATCAACGGTCAATTATGGGGTGTTTCTATCAATGTGCATGTGGAATCTTTTCTTTATTCTATTTTTTGGAAGTTTTAGACTTGGTTTCATTAAGGAAACAACCCTCAACTATATTAGATTATACAATTGGGTTCCTATGCTTTCTATTATACTTTAAAAAAAATTAAACGATAATATTCATCAAATTTAATATCAATTAATTTTTTTTATTAACGTGATTTATGACGTGATCACATGATAATCGAGGTTATTTTTTTTCTTTTTTCCCTTGTTCACACCTGCCACATAATATGGCCTTAGTTGTTACGTAACCATATCATATTATATGTCACATAAACAAAAAAATGTTAGTTAATATTATGTCAAATGGTTGATAATATTTTGTTACAGTCTTACAAATTAAGGTTCTGTGCTTGTAAAATATAAGAATGATTATTTTTAATACAAATCAAAGAATACTTAATGTTTTCTTTAGAGACAATAAAAATGTAACGCTTATATAAACTGATATAGTTTAAGATTGTAATCTTTATATTTTGGTTGTGACATGTGACATAGAAATTTGTCTTTTCAGGATTTAGTTTTTCCAGAAATTAAATATGAATGAAAGTTTCATTTACATGATCTATAATTTAAAAAGATTTTTTAATCAGCATAATATATGTTAAATACAACTTAATTAATGTATGATATTGAGAAATTTGTTGGTCAGCAAAAATGGATAACTGGATTTGGGCTGGTAATTGGGCCTTTTGTATCTTACTTTTCAAAGGCCTGTTTATGACCCAAAAGAAGAAAAAGAGGTCCAAAATATTAAAATGGGCCTAGCTAAATTTCTTAGTGGGCTCTATGAGTTAGCCCATAATTATTTCTTGGAAGTGGATCATGGGGCTGCCTCTTGATTTGGAGAGTTGGATTTAATAATAAGCTTCATTTGCTAAGGCCACTTTTCCTTTTTTGATTGGTATTAGGTATTCTTTAACCCACTTCTGAATTGTTGGGTATTTTTATTTTTGACAATTACTTATGAATTTGATCTTAAAATAATGGAAATTTCCCACACATCCCTTTTTGTATAGTTTATTAAATTTCAAGTTATTTTCTCGATTAATATATGAGTCATTATTTTTAAAAAAAGATTTGTAGATTTTTTTATTTTACTCGTTAATAACATTGTAATTTATAAGTCAATGATAATATTACCATATTTATACATTGACGGTATATTAAATATAAACTCTTAGTCTATATATTGCTCACACTCATCTTAATTCATAAGTCGCAATGATACGACACAACATTTCAAATCATTACCATTAACATGTCGGCTTTATATTTTTCCTTTTCTTATATATGTTTCGATTTAAAAAGTTGTCGAGTTAATAACATTTTTTGAGTTTTAAATATTAACAAATGTAATTTAAAGAAAAACGATGGTTGTATAACTCAAAAGTTTCATTAAGAAAAGGGAAAATTGGCCAAAAAAAAAATGGAGAGTTTTGGAACCATCGACAAAAAAGAATAAAACATGCACGTGTAGCTGTGTAATCCATGAGGGTTTGGAGAGAAGACTTGAAGACCAAAAATGCATGGCCAAGATTGAAAACAAAATACCTTTCCTTCTTAGCCTGCCCCAATGTGACAACTAATGGGACTTTGTCTACATTTTCTTGCAACTTTATAGTCGGCAACTAATGGACAAAAAATTATGTAGTAGCTTCAAATAGTTATTTTATATTTTCATAAAGATAAAATATATTTTAAATCTACGTTGAGAGTTATAAACGTAGATGGTATGAGCCTATACGATTGAAATGATTAATCACTAAAACAATGAATGAAAAAGATGATGCAAGAATTTAAAAATGAGATATGAAATGCGACATTTTCTGTTAGAAACAATAGTGATTAAGATCGAAACAAGTATTCTACTTATTAATGATAAGATTAAAAATTTAAATCAATATAATTTATTCAAACAAACGATAATTACAAGATGTTTTCAACTTTTTCTTTTTTGATCGATTCAACAGACAAATGCTTGCAAGTAAAAAGAGTGAAAGCCAGGAGTTATCACTTGAATAATATGCATTTTCAAAGTAAGTCGCATGCACCAGGTAAAGTTTTAAAACCCAAGATACTCCAAAGTTACATTGAACTTTCCACTAAAGTCAAGGGCAAGGAGCGTAACGTCCAATAGGTAAATTAATCGTGGTCAGATGGGATTGAAAATTCAGGCCGTCTCTTTCTTCCCGAATAACCCAAAGCAAACACCAACCTAACACGCATTTTGTGTCTAGTAGCTAGCCAGCACAGGGGGGAAGAAAAGGGAATGGGGGGATGAGGAAAAAGAGAAGGGTTCAAAGGGGGGCCATGGTAGCAATTCTAGCAAGTGAGATGGACCTCCTGGCATAAATGTGTTGGTTCTTGGCACATAGGGTCGTTTCATACACGTGAATGAAAATCAGGGATGTTTCCCATTTCGGATAACCTGAGGCCAACTCGAACCTACCAGCGTATTGTCTTTAGTAATGTAAGGTAAGGGGAGGAACCCCGGGCCTGTTGGCAATTTGGCAAGCTGATCTCCTAGGAGCTTCCACTCTTTGTCCTTCTCCCACATGCAGGCTGTTGTCATTCACCACTTGGATAAAGTAGTTCCTGTTCCAGCTAGTGCTCACCTTACCCAAAGTCAAAATGCTCTTGGCAGCATTCACAAAAGTGAAACCCCATGACAAAAAGAAATAATACTGTTGACAATGACAGTTTTCTCTTTTCATCTTATAAATTTAACATAACAATAAACAAGTTTTGGGTAAGCCTTGAAGCTTCAATTAACCATACAAATTTTGGGATTTTCATTCTTGGTAATTGGTTGAAGCACTCAAAAATAATTTAAATATCCAAATATATTCTTTATTCTTCTTGCAGAAGATGTTAAAACAACAACTGTCAAATGAGCAGTTGAATCCCACATACAATTATTTTCATAAGCACTGTGGCTAAGCTGTCATGGCATGCAGCAGCTTACAAGGCATTCCGCTTCACAAAAGAAACCGAGAAAGCCCTACTTTATCCCCAGTAGCTTTTACATCCTTCCCGATTTGCTCTCTATACTCTCTGAAGTTAAAGTTTCTGTATAAAGCTGGCTTGCTGCAGCTTTCTATTACAGTTTCGTAGGTGGGGCAGTAGAAGTATGCCGTAGAGTACCTTTCAACCTCTTGATTGGCAACCACTCGGTGAGTAATGCTCTCGTACATGCCATTGCTCAATGCCTGCATTATTAGATTGAATACACAAATTAAGGAAGTACACTGAACCTAACTCTTTGAGTATTAATTAAGATATTGTCACAATTAGTAGCTGATATATATTACCTGAAACAAGTCACCAATGTTGATAACTAGGGCTTTTGGATTGGGTTTAATGTTAACCCATCTTCCATCTCTCTTCAGTTGCAATCCCCCTACCAGGTCTTGGGATAAAATGGTGAGGAAATCGGTATCAGTGTGAGGGATAATGCCAAACATCCTGGAAGAGTATGGACAAGGAGGATATCTATTCATTCGAATAGAACTAGAGCTCGGTGAACAGTTCTCTTGGAAATAATTTGGTTTGATACCCAAATTTTGAGCTAAACATTCAGCTAATCTTTGAGCCAGTAAATTAGTTTTTGTTGCATACTCTTCAATGGTTAACCTGAAAAGCAAAAAGTGGCGAAACAACTAGACCACTTAGCTAACAATTTGATGCACATAATTACAAAAGAAATCAAACTTTGGACTGTAATAGAGGGGAAAATTAATTGGTCACACGCTTAGGAAGACAGTAACGCTAGATTGATTGTTACCATTTATCGAGACCTAATAGGCCAAAAGCTTATGAGGGTGATGTTACACATGGTGCCTTAGCTTCACTTGCAAAAGCACGTTGGGGTGACAGCCACAGTGGCAGTGGTCTGGTGGCTGAGGCCACACCAGGCCATGGCTGCAATAGCCTAGGTGAGGTTTGGAAATGTTTGGCAGGTGGGTGGTAACATAATGCCAACTTCTTGAAGCAACATCTATAAGTACAAAATATATATAGGACTAAGATAAGGTTTGAGACTGTAATGTGTAACATGGCCATGGGGTTTGAAAATCAAACTTTAGGTATCTTTGTCTCCCCTAAATCCTGTGTTCTGTTCAAGTGTACCACCATAAAATTATGAGATTTTATGATAATGATAATAGATAGACCAGTAGAGTAAAGGCAACTGTAAAGAAATCCTTTTGAATCTGTAGCAATTAGCACTTAAAATATATATTAATAGGGCTATGACTCCCAAAATGAGTTTCAGGTCCATAATAATAACAGCAACTACAGTCATTTTTAAGGGTTTCCCTTTTTTAAGAACCAAAAGGTCCCACTGGAACCTGAATAATCTCTCTACCAATTAAAATTAGTAACTAGGATTAAGGCTTAATTAGGCAGTAAAGACAAAAAAATCTGTGTTTTGATGGTCTGGAATGTGTAATGAACCTAACAGTGAAGAGATTCCAAACATTCCATGAGGCACGGTGTCAAAGGTCAAAGGGTTCACAATCAAGCCAACCATGTGTCTGAAAATCTAATTAAAGCCTAGCTTGTCATACTAATAAGTTTATGAAATATACTAAGCAAAATAAACCAGTAATAATTATGACTAGATGGATCAAATTAGGAGTAGCAAGCAATGAATAAGAATAGTGTTTAACCAATCCAAAACTAAATACCTACAAATTTATACTTTTATTATACATTGAGTATAATTTTAAGCAAATAAGGAAGATTCTTAAAATGCCAAATGTAGAACTTCAGCAAAAGTTGATGAAGAAAGGTAAAAAATTTGGTGAATTCACAGCTTGTTCTAGCATATATAGAATGTACATAATTAATAAGTTCATGCATAATAAGGAGAGTACTACATATATATATATATGAATATTATAATGACTTTTGTTTTTTTTAATAAAATTAAAGGGTAATTTAACTCAAAGTTGAATGACTATAATTCTATATGTGTATAAAAGTTTAACCTTAATTTCAATTAATTTTGATCTAGTTCTTTCTAGCTGTTACTTGTACTGTACGTATAACCTTTTCTTTTCGTTTTTCTTTTTGGTTCAATAGCCTAAAAGTTGTTCCTTGTTATTTCATGTAAAGACAATGAAGTCCAGCTATGGTGCATAAAAAGTAGAAGATAATATAATTTAAGTACCTGAGCTTATTGCTTTCATCCATTCTCGAAATATCTTTGAGGGATATATGCAATGCTTCTGACCAAGAGAGGTTCCTCAAGCTAGTAGCCAGAGGGTTCCCCCATCGATAGCTTTGAGCTGATAAATTCAGAAAGTTCTTCCCAGCCTTCTTGTCAAAAGGCCGGTGAAACACCTTCATCTGCTCACTCTTCAACCTGTCTAGAAGCTCTTCAGGAATCCCATGATTCACAATTTGAAAGAAGCCCCATTCACTAGCAGCTTCAGCCATCTGTTCTATGCACTTTTGCCTCTCAAATGGTCCAAGATTCAAACCACTGAGATCAATCAGAGGCAGCTCAAATTCCTCACAGACTTCAACCATGGGAAATTTCTCCTTTTCAGCAGAGCTCTGGAAGATGGCCTTGTATTTCTCGAAAAATGGAGGTTCAACAGCCATTGAGATGGAGAGGAAGTTGGAGAACATTGCCTCACTATCTTCTCAATCCTGATCAGACAAATATGCACAGAAGTAAGTAATTCATGCTCAAAAGAACTCCTTATATGAAGTGTAAGTTAAACTGATCATGAAAAGACTTTGAAAATCTCAGAATAAATGATCCCATGATCACATGGATGCTTATTTCATACAATGAATTGCATATAGTTCAATGATCTTAGACCAAAAACAATTGGACAACTGAATCTTTCAAAATTTATTGCATTGGTCTGCCATAAATGAAAAACTGCTATATATTTGCATTGTAAATGTTCTTCCTATGTTTTGGCCATGTCTGTTGGCTTTTGCTTTTGCTTCTAAGCCCTCTTTTAGGGTGTTATCTTCCCATTGTAAATTCTTCCTCTCTTTAATAAATTTTTATGGTTTGACAGAGCAAAAAAAATTGTTTGTTGATCATTGTGAATTCATACATATATGGTACATACTGATGTCCTCACTGCTTGCTGTATGTTTTGGTATGTCTGCAGTTGCTGTTTTCATTATTTCATGACAAATAGTGAAAGAAAATTACAACAATTTTATCCTTTTGTTCAGAAAAGTCAACTAATTTCTAATTAAGGCCAGCAGGGAACATTACGTTGCATCAAATTTCATTTCCTAAAAAAGTTACATGTTTCCCCTTGTTTTTTTACTCTTATTACATTGAATCTGATCTCGCTTTGCTGGTGATATTTGGATGTCAAACCTTTTACTGCCACATACACATTTAAAGAGATTTCTAGCAGATCATAAGTACCGATTCACACTGGATTATGAAGTGCTACTACAATCTATACCAAGAAGAGAAGTGTTTCACGGTCCTTGACCCTTTTTGATTCCCTAAATATTCACCAAATGAGCTTGGAAAATGTTAATCTTATTTAGCATGTGACTACATTAATGCAAATGTTCTTTATTTTTAATTGGCTAGAACATAACCCAATTCTCCAAACTCTTAGACACCTAAATTCTGATTCCACCTAGCTACTTGTCGCAATATCTGGAGACCTTTCACCGAAATGAAGTTTATAGGCCTTAATTTATGTGCTCTTAGTAGACCATGCTGTGTGCTAGGTGGATCAGATAGTGGTAGATGGACAAGTGCATATAGTTCCACAAAGTGCACTTATGTATCAAACCTCCTTGTAAATTAATTACCTGATAGAGCTTTCAAGAATCTGTGTCTGTTCAGCTTATCATCCCTTAGCAGATAACATGCAACTCCCTAAGCAATTACAAGGAGGACCAACAGCCACACCCCATTTCTGCAATTCATATGCAAAAAAAGTTAATGGACGTTTTATTAGAGGACAGGAAATGATTAAAAAAGTAAAGTAACATAAAATGGGATATGCATTCTAGTTAAGAACAAGAATCAGTGAATTCCTATTGGTTGAGCCATTATTACTTTGATATTGAATGACCAACCTAGAGAATAAGTGGGAGCTCTTCAAGGAAATTGACAAGTTGATTTCTGCCGACATCTTAAGAGATGCAAACTGTCTTTGTAGGTTCTTTTGGCTAAGTTTGGTGTGGACAGGAATGATGTTTCCACAGTTAGGGGGAGCTTTAATGTTTTTTAAGGCTAATTAGCTTGTTGTATCAAGTCTATCTCAGGCTTTCTTTTGGAGATTTTATCTCTCTGCCCCTCATTTGATGGTTTCTTTTCTCAGTTGGTGGGATTTATATGTATTTGAGTTGGTTCCCCCTATATTCCCAAGGGAGAAGACTTCTTTATTTGGCTGAGCAAAAAGGAAAAAGAAAAGAAAGAAAGATGACCAACATAGGATTAGGGCTTTGTGCTGAATGCTAGCTGATCGTGATCATATATTCAGAAAGTAAATTTCAAATTAAACACTATGACACTCACTTAGAACACACCAAGGACACTTGCAGATTCAGTACTTTGCAGAAAAAAGTAGTACTAGCTATGACTATAACAAGAACAAGCAGAAAAATGTGCCCTTTACAGAATTACCTAGCTGCTATAACTAAATATATAGGGAAATGCACTAGCTAGCAGGATGATATATATAGTAGACAAGAGGGTTTAAACAGACCTTGCTTACATGAAAGAGTATAGTAATGCAATATAGGGTTTTTTGAGCTTCGAGAAAGAGTAATAACCCATACTACATTATAAAAGACAGGTTCATACATATTTATGTTCAGGTTTGAACATATGCTATTGGCTGAGAGAACTTATGGCTGAAGCATAGAACACGCGTCTAAACAAGTTACGAAAGAGGGGAGTGAGATTTTTAGTTATATAGGGTTTCAACTTCACATGTTCTTTTGAAAAGTCCAATGATTTTATAGCTCTTATAATGTCCTGCAATGTTTTCAAAGCCTTGAAAAAGAGTCTCTTATCTGCAAAAAATGGGTAAGAGGTTGTCTTTTCTATCAAGTTTGAGGATAAGAACAAAGCAAAATTTTCAAATCCATCGATCGAAAAGCTTTATTTACCTATCAAATATAAAAATTTTCAATAAATTTTGACACTTTAATTAAATAAATATTTTTATTAAAAATTTTAATAAAATTTTGCACCGATTTGAAATATCTGCAATATTTTAATTTGATTATTTTTATGAGAGAATAACTTTACCTAAAAAATCTTTATCTAATTTGTGCTTAGAGCTTTGGTATCACCCTTCACTCATTGGCCAATCACTTCAAAGCATAGAGGCTGACCCCATACTGGCCGACTAGATCACATCATCATACTTCATAATTAATGGAAAATAACAAGAATCTAGCTAGGGTTCTCAATTTCCTTATGATTGGCTCCTAGGGTTTTGTGCCATAATATTTCTCGCCATGCAAACGAAGTGTGATCTATCTTTTGACACGAGACAACTCAACTGAAATGTGTGATTAGTACATAATTGTCTTAAACAAAAATATTCTATTTAATTGTGGTATTAGGGAGACCAATGTGATAATTAAGTTCTTTTCATAAGGTTCAATGGAGTTAAATTACTTATAATTGATAGAACCGGTATTATCATTATAAGAAATTTGAAATCTATACCATTTAATTATATCGTATTCTTTTAACGTCCGTTGTTGTGTAAAATTAATACAATTTGAAAATTTTTAAATAAAATTAAGAAGATTAAGATTCTATTTAATTGACATTTTTATTAGTTGCTTTTTACTTCAGAAAATAAACTAAGAAGAAAAAATGAGAAAGTAAAGGTGTGTTTATTTGGATAGAAAAGCAAATGCCAAGTATTTGAAAAATTATCGATAAAACACATAATTTTTTAAATAACATAATGTATGATTTTACTTTAATATAGATTAATTATATTATAATTGGTATTACACTTTGATTATTATTTAATCAAGTGTGACATTGTTTTTTACTTTTTGCTTATACATATATATAAAACTTAATTTTCAAAATGTAAAAAAATAAATAAAATAATAAAAATATCAATAAAACGGAATCTAAACAAGAAAAGAACAAAGAGACTAAACCCTCTTGAATTCTTAAGTTTATAGTAAGCACAAGAAATTAATTACATCCTTTAAAATACTAATGAAAATCAAGATTGCAACAATTATTTCATCATGGTAATTGAGATATTTTTTAATTAATCCCCAATTGTTCTAAGCTTTAATTTGAAAGAAATAAAAATTTAAGATTGAGCAATGCAAGTTGTGTGATCTGATTTCTCATATAATTGGTTTCCTTACCAATAATGAAAGCAAAGATGGAAAAGGAGGAAACAAAAAACATATGCATAAGTTAAAATATGAATTTTTTTTTTCAATCTTTTACACATGTGCATGTGTGACTGCCTACCAAATGAAGAAGAAGTGTGTGTGTGTCTAAGATATCCAACATTTGATTTTCCTACAACCATATCCACAACCTCCCTTTTGATGTGGAAATGGCTTTACAAATTTTGGATGCTGACATTAAATTGATTAATTATTGTTTTAATTAAATGCTACTATAAGTAATTAAGAAAAGCAAGAGATATTAATAATGAATACATCCCATATAATGTAGTATGTGCTTCCATGCCAAAAGTTAAATGTAGCATGTCTACACATAACATAATTCTCCGTGACCAAAAGAGGAAAAAAAGAGCACCTGTCCCTTATGACATATTTTTATTATAGTACTAGTTAATTTCATAAATTCCCTGTTGTATTATTGCAAAGAGAGTACTTTCAAATGTCATAGTTTCCTTGGGTAATGATGTAGTTGAAATATAATAGTAGCACTATATCAGGTCTGCAATTGGATCGTCCATGACAATATACGTAAATGGACATTTATATATAACCAATTGTCAGCTAATATTATGAAATATGCCTTATAAAGAATGATCATAGGGTTTTTATTTATTTATTTATTTATACTTTTTTTTCTCTTTTTTTCCTTCAAAATTCATTTCCTCGCTTTCTTTTTGTGAATCAAACTATAGCCTCATAAAGTTGACAAATAGTTTTAGAGCTCAGGGAGATACTTGTTTCCAATTAAACAAAGTGGTTGAGGAGTCTTTCAAATGAAAAAGAAGAAAAAAAGAAAGAAATGAGAGTTTAAAACAAAGTATTGGGCTGATTTTTTTTCATTGGTACTGTATGTTGATGATGGAGAATGGATGTTGGACCAAACAGATAGATTGTGAAAGAATTGATAGAAACCTTATTCCATTGACAGATAGAATATGAAGTGGAGCATTGACTTGTTAGGCGACGAGACTCCCTTGGGTGGAAAATAAGTAAAAGAGCCAAGAGTTTACAAACAAAAATATGTGAGGTGTTGGGCGGCAAAGAGAACCCTACATTACCCTAGTTAAATATCTAAATAAGGGAGCCCAATTACTTAAGTGAAGCCCAAATTGTTCTAATTTGGGCTAAATAGAGCACCCCCAACTTGAACAACTTAAATATATATCTAATTTGGTTAAATCTTTAAAAAATATGTTATTAGGAAACAATAAGCTAATGTCCATGAAAGTTAAAACACGGGTTTAGATTTTTAAAAAAATAATCTTATATGCAAGTTTAATATCAGAAAATAAAAAAAAAATTAAGGAAAGATATATATAGCTGCTTCTCTCCATTCTTCCACTAAACTTTCTTATCAATCAAGCAAATCTCTCTCTCTTTGTCTTGTTAATGTCACTCTATATCCTTATAATTATTTTGATAATGGAGGGTTGATTTGCCCTAGAGTGAGATGACAAAAAAAAAGTGGGATTGGCTAGTTTTGAAACAAGCAGTCTCTTTTTTATCCAAAAGCAGAAACAATTAAGGATTGTGTTATCTCCTTTCTTGTCGACTAAAGATGTGTGACAAGTAAGAAAGAGAAGAATTTATGCAAATAAATCATCATCCATACATGTTTTCCCACTTAGAAGAATT